GCTGAACCTTGGTGTCAAAAGAACAGTACTATTGCTTTTTATCCTTTTTTGTTCTAAATCCGCACCCCAAATGCCTAATTTTACTGAGGTTTATCGTATACTCTCATGAGTCTAGCTTGTGTGTTCACATTTCCAAATTAGCATTAAGCTCTTCCTTTGATTCATCCACAAACACAATATCTTCCTTAAAAACCATACATCACAGTACACTGCCTAAGATACTCTTTGTAACCTAATCCATAATGGTTGCAAATAGGAATTGACTGATTTTTGATCTTTGGTGGAGCCTAATCCTGATCTAGAGGAATCTTCTGTCACCTTCCACAACCTGTAAAATCTGTATTAGCATTTGCATCTCCTTGTATGGCTTAGGGGCTGTTTGGTAACTTCTGAATGGGTAAGTGTTGAACCAGTAAGAGGTCTGAACCATTAAGTGCTGAACCAGTAAGAGGTCTGAACCATTAAGAGCTAGTATATTGTTTAACTATTCAGAGGCAAATGTCTGATCAATTCAGATAAGAGCTCTTAACCATTCAGACTCTGTATAATACTTAACCATTCAGAGGCAAATCTCTTAACCATTCAGACATCTGAACCATTAAGAGGCTGAAACAAACAGTCTGAACCATTAAGTGCTGAGTCATTCAGACATCTGAACCATTAAGAGGCTGAAACAAACAGCCCCTTAGTTAACTCATTTAACTACTTTGCCTAAAACAGATCTGACATTTCTTTTGATCTCTACCATTTATTTTTGTGATCCGCCTGACCTCGCTTACCATTATTCTTCCTTATACGATCTCTTAAACAAATATCAAGTACTTATATTTGACGTTCCAGTAATACGATAGTCAATCTGGCTAGTATGTACCACTCTTATAAGCTACTGCATGATTTTTTTTCTTTTTTAAATCACGTCTTAGTCATATCTTGTCATACGCTTTCTTACCTAGGAATAACTAGATTCTAAAATTTTCATCGTCATAATTTTTGACTTGTGCGTACAATATCACTAGATGTTGGTGATGTGTTGAGAAACTGACTAGAGTCATCTCTCATTAGAATATTAATATTGTAAAATCAGCATGTACACCTTGCAAAATTATACGTAACAATTAACAAATGCATGCCCTGATAGCCTCAGATGTTTGTGCTGAATATATAATATTGCTGATTGTTAATGCTCTGGCTGACCATCTAACTGCATTATAAATTCAAAAATTGTATTTCCCCAAGGAAACATGGTCTAATGATAAATTGTCAGTCCAACTTGTTTCAGTACTCTTATAAAAACCGTATGGAACTCATTTTGTGCTACACCTTTCTGGCAGTTGGGTGTAATCATAAGAGCTGCAACTGTTGGTCACATACCACCAGTTAACTTTATTAGAGTCACCATGGGGAGCACCGCTCTATTACTTATTGGGTGGAGAACACTTTTTTATTGCATCCTCCGTGATGATCAGAAGAAGTGCAATGATGTATACAAGCGCGGTAGTACATTTGAGCTCTTTGAGGTAATGGTTTTTTCTTGTTTTTATCAGGTTGGCTTCTTGTAAGTGATATCTGCTTTGTTAGGACAATTGACGGTACTGTCAGTGATTTCCCCTGTATTAGGACAATGATAGGTACAAGAACAGTGTACATCCATCTATCAATGGAGATTTTTATGCTGACTTACCAGAAAGTAATTGGTTACTAAATATAGTACAATTATACACAAAAGAAAAGTGATGTCCTTAGTAACCGAAAATTGTAAGGTTAAAAAAAATCGCGTCAAACTCAACGAATCAAAATTGCTATGGGAAGTTAGGTTCAGGGTGTTTGGGGATGTGAGGCAGCAGACTGCTGACACCTTAGTGCGGATTGGGAGTAGGGGAAGGGGTAGACCTCAGGATATAGTCTTACATATCAGCGTTTGGAGAGCTACGATTAGGGTAGTTGGGTAGGCGCTTTGGGCTAGTACTTTTGATTCGTTAACATTAGTTTGTTCTTTGCCTCGTTGTGCTTTGTGCCTTCTCTTCTTTATGTGCCTTCTGTGATAAGCTTCTCTACTTTCGACTTTCGAGCAGGGGCAAGGTTTGCATATACACCCCCTCTCCAAACCCTACTCGCGCGAGATCCAAGTGGGTTGTTGTTATTGTGTTTAGATTTGTTTTATTTGAAAACTATAATATCCAATTATATGTTAGAAGTGTAAAATTTGATGACTTCTTTGTCATTCATATTTGCCAAAGAAAAATTGAACATTCTAAAACATTTTCCCAGTTCCACAAATAGCCTATTGCATTCAATCTATCACTTCATCAATTCCCGTTCACACGTTGTGCCATGTTTTAAAATTTAAGTAAAAAAAAGATTATTTTAACAGAATATGCAAATTTTATCATTATTCATACAAAAGTTGGGTGTCAAAAGTACCACCAGTACATGTTTTTTTGGATGTTATATGTATTGAATCGGAAAATAAAATCAACAAAACTAGACATTTGACATAAACTTGGAATTTTTATTTGCAGTTGCTCACGTCCTTGGTTAGAAGATGGTGAAAGATGTGCAAGTTACAACAATAACTATTTCTTGTGGGAGGTATTTTTAAACTTGTACGTGTTTTCTGTAATCCAGAACATGTGAAACTTGTCATGCTGCACTGCCATTCTAACATTTTAATGGCACAATATTCAACAAAATCTCGTGTGTACATCAACAGTTGAAACCATTGTCACTAACATTGTCTTGGGGATTGTATTTGTAACAAGACAAAATATTATTAAGAAGAAAAATGGTGGATTATAATAAGGAGAAATTTCATCAATGGTACACGAACTCTCACACTATGTTTGGTTAAAAGAATTTGAAAGAAAAGAAAATTATTTTCCCTCATTTTCCTCACCAAAATGAGAAGAGTTTGATTTTCCTTCCTCATAATACATTTTGCTTTCTCATTTTCTTTTCCTTTCACATTTCTTTTCTTCTCCTCTCTAACTAAACAAGAAAAATGTTTTCTTTTTCATTTTCTTTTTTTCTCTCTCAAATTCCTTGAACCAAACATAGTGTCAGCTCTATTTCACCGCGGTGTTTCAACTTTTATTAGTATCACGAAAATACACAAATTTTTAACATTATTCCATTGGTGGTTCATTACGCGAACTCTTGATTTCATAGAACTCAAATTTACAAGTTTATAATTTGGCGCTGAGTGACTTGAAGGTGACTTGGAAACCACCAATGGACCACAAATGGAAGAATGTTGAAAGTAAATAAAATTCATGTACCATTGATGAAATTTACCTGTACCTAGGCAATGAGTTATACTATGGACTAGCTTACCAAAGCCAATTTGAAATCCATATATTTCTCATTATTTAAAATTTAAGAATTTAAATTTTGGAATTGAAATGCATGAATTGAAATGAAATGTCTGTTTCCAAACACTACCTTAAAAATTTAGAATCATGACTATAATATCTTAGAATTAAAGATTAGAGTAAAATCCATAAATGGTCTTCAATTTTATGTAGTTTTCCATATTTAGTTCCCAATTATAAGATATTTCATAATTAGTTCTCAATTTTGGAAAATTAATCCGCAAATAGTTCTTTTCACCAAATATGACTATATATTTTGAGTAAATTCTCAAAATAGTTCTTTCTAATAAGGTTTTTTCCAAAAATTACTAATGTGGTCTTTTATAATTTAGATGTGTTTCCTATATAGTTCTTTATAAGCTGTTTATTAAATGGCAGTTAAGTAGACGGTATAGAGATGCTCTTTATTATCTAAACTGTGAATAAGTCATCAAAATGTTTTTTTAATTAAGTGGGAAACATATCTCAATTTTAAAGAGTATTTAGAAACACATCTCAATTATAAAAGAATATTTAGGAAACACATCTTAATTATAAAGTATCACGTTAGTAATTTCGCTTCTTGAAGATTAATTTGGGAAAAAACTTTATTATAAAGGATTACTTTGAGACTTTATTCAAAATATTGTCATATTTGGTGAAAAGGACTATTTGTGAAACAGTCAATTTTTGAAAACTAGGGGTGGACACGGTACGATTCCAGTACGGTTTTGGTTCCAGAACTGTCGGTTACGGTAGCGTCACTCCATAGCACTATTACCAGATGTCACAGGGCTGGCGCCGGTTCCAGAACCGACGATTCAGAAATTGGGTCCGAGCTAGTTCGACAGTTCTCTTTTTTTTTGTAATTGTAAATCCTGTAAGTGTAAAATAAATTAAATGTTCGTATGAATGATAATTTCTAAGAATGTAGTTGTTATTTAAATAATAAAAAAATGATATCATCTACGTAAACTTGAACCAAAAAGATGTCTTGGTTATCATTCTTGATAAAAAGGGTAGTATCGACTTGACATCGTTTGAACTCATGGTCCAAAAGAAATTTGCTTAAACATTCATACCAAGCACGAGGCGATTGTTTGAGACCGTAAAGTGCCTTTTTGAGTTTGAAGACATGTTCGGGAAACTCAGTCTTCGAAACCCGGGGGTTGTTCGACATACACATCCTCTTGAATGATACCATTAAGGAAGACACTTTTAAAACCAATTTGATAAAGTTTAAAATCCATCGTAGATGCAAATGCAAGAAATAAACGAATAGCTTCAAAATGTGCAACTGGTGCATAAGTTTCCTCATAATCAATCCCTCTTCTTGATTGCAGCCTTTAGCTACGAGCCTAGCTTTGTTTCTAGTGATTATCCCATTTTTGTCGAGTTTATTACAGAACACCCATTTTGTGCCAATAACGGAATGATCATTAGGTCTAGGCACCAATTCCCAAACATTATTGTGTTTGAATTCGTTAAGCTTCTCTTGCATTGCTATAGACCAATGCTCGTCATTAATGGCATCCAAAAAAGTTGTTGGTTCAATGAGTTGTCGATAGGATAATTCTTCAACGTCCTCCATTCCTTAGGAGGCTCCATTTGTTTCTGCGTTTTCTCTTCTTCCAGTTTCTTTTCTTTGATGATTTCTTCTTCTTCGTCACAAGAACCTACAATATTTTCAACAATACCTCTTCTCGCCAAGCGAACATCAAATTCATCAAACACGACACAGATAGACTCTTCTACGGTCTTAGTACGCTTGTTGAACAATCTATATGCTTTGCTACGCAATGAATAACCTAAGAAAATTTCTCCATCCGACTTAGCGTCGAATTTTCTTAAGTTATCTTTACCATTGTTATGAATACAAACTTTACATTCAAAGACATGAAAATATGAAAGGTTAGGCTTTCTTCCTTTGTAAAGTTCATAGGGCGTTTTCTTGAGTATCGGTCTAATGAGGGCTTGGTTTAACACGTAGCACGCGGTACTCATGACATCCACCCCAAAATATTTAGGAAGGTTTGCCTCATTGAGCATAGTCCTAGCCATCTCTTCAAGAGATCTATTTTCCATTCAACCACGCCATTTTGTTGTGGTGTACGGGGAGCTGAGAAATTATGCTCAATGCCTAATTCGTCACATAAGACATCAAAGCCATCTTGATCGAATTCTCCCCCATGATCACTTCTAATGGATGCAATGTGACAATCTTTTTCATTTTGAACCAACTTAATAAATTTCTTAAAAACATTAAGTGCATCGTACTTATGAGCAAGAAAGTGTGTCCATGTATACCTCGAATAGTCATCAACGATAACAAGGCCAAAGTAATTGCCTCATAAACTCATAGTTCTTGAAGGTCCAAAAAGCTCCAAGTGCAAAAGTTGTAACAACCTAGTCGTAAAAACAACGTTCTTTGACTCAAACGAAGCCCTTAATTGCTTCCCCTTTTGAAATGCATCACAAATTAGATTCTTCTCAAACTTAAGCTTAGGAATACTAATTACTAAGTCCTTAGAAACAACCTTGTTAAGATGTTCCATCTTAATGTGAGCTATCGGACGATGACATAGCCACGTTTCTTCCTCTTTAGTAATAAGGCACTTAGGTAAGGTAGATGGGGAATTTTCAAAATCAAACATATAAATGTTATCTACCCTACGACCACAAAGAATAATCTTATTGTCACACAAGCGTTCTACTATGCATTTACTAAAATCAAAGATTACACGGTTACCTCTATCGCAAAATTGGCTAATGCTAAGAAGATTGTGCTTGAGTCCCACAACAAGAAGAACGTTTTTAACGGTCGTAGCATTGTCCTTTCCAACGATGCCACTTCCAATGATCATTCCTTTGTTGTCACCAAAATCGACATTACCACCTTTGAAATACTCTAAACTCCTAAACTTGGATGCCTCACTGATCATGTGCTTGGAGCATCCGCTATCGAGATACCAAGAGGTACTCGAAGCCTTCAAGCACACCTACAAAAAGATATCAAGGAGACGGTTTAGGTACCCATTTCTTATTGGGTCATTTTTGGTTAGCATATGTACGATGTGTGTGCGCATGTTAAAAACACCTATGTTTGGTGAAGCACACGGGTGCAATGTGACCTATTTTATTGCAGTAATGGTAAACAACATTCGGGTTATTCATCCTATAAGGTTGAATGAGATAAGTTCAAGGTTTGCTAGGAGGTGCTCTTCTAGTTTGATTATTAGTCCTAGCATTTTTATTTCCTTTAGCCTTAACAAATGTTGTTTTTCTAGGTGGGTTTTTCTTATATCTAGTCTTTCACCATTACTAGATTTTTGCCCAAGTATTTTATCTAAGGTGTTTGAGGCATTATTAAACATTTCCAATTTGCTCTCTAAACTAGCAACCTTAGCTTTTAATGTTGTGCAATTTGTACAAGTCCTCGAAAAAGATGGTAATGCTTTCAGCCCTTTACCCAAAGAGACAATTTCTTGTTTGAGTTCATTTATATTTTTGAGTTCTTTAATGTCATTATCAAAAGGATTTTTTGTTTAACTTCATTATTTTCTTTAGAGGCCTTCTTAAACATTCCTACCAATTTTTCTACAATGCTAACAACATCATTACGAGCTAAGTGATCATTGGAGAAATGTTCTTGATCACTTGCCTCTTTAGATGATTCTCCTTCTTCAATGGCCATGAGGCATAGGTTGGCCATCTCCGCTACGTCCGAGTCTTCACTCCCGGAGCCATCGTTCTCCCAAGATATGTAGGCACATTGCTTCTTCAATGCCTTCCTGTCCTTCTCGTTCTTGAGTTTAAGACACATTAGTTTAATGTGTCCAATTTCACCACTGCACACCCATAGCACTTGGGTGGAGTGTTCTTCTTGGCTCCGTTCTTCATCATCATTTTCTTGAATTTTCGGACAAAAAGTCCGAGGTCAGTGTCATCGTTGTCATCATCTTCGTCGTCAACGTTGTAGTAGAGTTCGATCCAATTCAAAACAATTCAATACATATGATGTTTTTAAAGGTTTTTTAAAAACATACCACGCAAATTAGAGTAAGAAAACGTACCCGGCCTTCCTCGATCAATCAATAAATCAATTTCTAATTAAATCATAAGTAAACATCCATAATCAAACAATTCACATAAACAAATCTATGATTAGCTATGTAAACAAATTAACATTATCTATGAATTCTACGCTTGAAAAAATCCACAAACTCACCTCAATTAATTATTGACTAAGAATTCACAAATTGAAGACTAAATTCCGGTGAGGTGCTCCGATCTCTCTCTGGTTTGTCACACAAGGTAATAGAGATGATGGTTAACTCGGTGGGGATTGTGGCGGCTAGCTTTTCCGACGATGCATACGGTGGCTTACACGGTAGAGGAGCAGAGGCAGTCCGTTTCGCTCGGCAATTGGCAAACGCGGCTCTGCACTC